GCAAAATATTAAGTAGCTTTTAATTCAACCCCCAAATCGATGAGATTGTGATGACTCTCAGTCCTCTACGAACTTAACCTTTTCACCTCATAAACCTTTTGACCTTTCTCATAAGTTAAAACTTCAACACTCATGTCATTCAAATCAATTTGAATTGCATTATTTACCTGTCCTTTAAAAGACTTCTTGAGGACTTTAAATGTGACGGGAGCCTCCTTCAGAAGGAATCTCGTTCTTAAATATTGTTTAATCATAAAGCAGACGACAAATACAACAAATTCTGCTCTGCTCCTTAAGACATTAAACATCCCTTAGAATGTGCTTTTGTGTCCAGGTTGTGAGCTTAATTGTCTTAGTAAGACAGTTAAGTTGTCTTAGTAAGCTGGTCAGTTTGAAAAATTAAAGCAGTTCGACAACAGCCAATGGTAATGAAGGATGATTTAAGGTCAAAGTATTTTGACAGAAAAACTAGTTATTACTACTTTTTCTGTCGAAATATTTAGAGAGGAAAAACATGGAATATTTGTATTAAATTAATAAGGCCTCAATTTTCTAGAGGCAGCAAAAAACAGGCGTGATAGTAAACCAAAGTTAGGTAACTCAAGGCTGCATAGAATTCTCCCATCTAGCTGCAACACATCCGCTTGTGAGTAAGTTAGGAGAATTTAGAAAGATATCAGTCAGACAGGCTGTCTCCGGATGATAGATATTTCTATTCTTAACGCCTATTTTTCGGACAATGTATTGATATTCTAAGAAGCTACATGTTCATCGCTCGTAGCGTTTACATCACTTCTCTAAGTCACTTCCACTTTTTCCTCGGAGGAAAAACAGTTTGTTTCTGTTACGTGATGATTTCGCAGATTTTGCCTCAATACCTTGCATAGATTCAGTTTTAGATCAATTGCTTCATGCCGAAAACGAAATTAAGTTGAAGAATTGGCTCAACACGGACAACTTTATTTCCATCTCTTTTCTTTTTTTGATATTTATGTGGACAGCAGAATTTATCATATGGATTGTCCCTACTACGCCGCCGCACAACAAGGAAAAATAAAATGTTGGAAAATATTAAGTTGTAAATGATCCAACATGGAAAGATCGTAGTGAAGAGAGATACACCAAAAGGGTAATATTAGCAAGTGTTACAGATTTGATGGCTAATTGGATCTGGGTTAAAGCCTCGGTAGTGTAATTGATAGCTATTGTCTTCGGCTAAACATCTTATCCTCACAGTGCCTCACTCCACCTAGAAGCTGTATGGGTAAATACTGGGATACTATCAGGAGAAAACTGACAATATGCTGAGGGGAAACTAGAATAACAATCGCCCTATCCAAGGGGATTAACGATATTTCTTCTGTGTCGCTGTTTGCTGCAGAAATTACCGCGATAATCCGCAGAAGTTTTCCTCGTACAAGTCTCTTTAAACCAAAATGTGTTGAATCTGTGGAATGACAGTGACCTTAAAAAAGGTTGAGCAACTTCTAACAACGGAAGTAGTACACAACACAGGGCGTGAAATTGACTTTTTTTTTCTGATAGTCACTTGGCTCCTAAATTCTTCAAAGTGGTAGCCAATTCAAAAAAAGTTGGTCGCCATTTTCAAAGACAAACAAAACCTTTTTTAACGCTGTCAGCGCTCTAGATAGACCCTCCAAAATTAAGTTAGGGAAAAGATCTTTAACGTGCTACAAAGTGGACACAAGGATGGATGATATACAACCTTCAAGCTCACCTAAATCCAATAAGGCGTCTAGTTATTGATCGAGATGCATGTGTTGCGTTTTGGAAACAAACTTAACGAGGAAGTTTGCCGCAGATTTATCTTTATCTTTGCAAATCTTGTTAATTCACTATATCTCTTGGTAAGGTCATGATGAAAGATTCTAGTCGCCAATTTGGCGACTAACTTTCAGGATTTGGTCGCCAAAGTGAAAAATGTAGTCGCATTGGCGCCTGTATTAGGCGCAATTTCACGCCCTGCAACAAGGAGCAGTTTGTTATGGTTTGTCATGGAAAGGTTGTTGTATCTACAAAGTTTCCGTTTAGTGGTCGTTGTTTGAAACTCTTTCACCTCTAGCCCTCGAACAGAACCAGAACATCCAGCGGGTCAAATTGTCACCAACCAGGCCACTCTCGAGTTTCTGAAACTTTAATAAGAAATAATGAGACTATTGTGTATAAAAATATTTACATTTTCCTTCGGAAAATACGCGGATAAAGCTATCGCATCTAAGTATAACTCTTAGTATTCTATCACAAATGCTGAAAACAATTGGCTATATGTACGCTACTCGCTGTAATAGACAATAAAGACCTTTAGCAAACCACGACGGCAACGGTAACAAGGATGTGACAAAACAAAAGATCTAATGAGCAGAACAATAACTTGGCAAGTAAGTACTGAAATAGTGCACATTCCTTAGCAGTACTCCGTAAAATAACAACGTGAAATTACCAAAATTTGCGTGGTCTGAGAAAAGAAACCACGACTGCAAATTATTTAAGTTTCCATTTGGAATTTAATGCCGCTCTCATAAGTTATGCTGAGGTTAACTTGTACCGCTGTAAGAGATAGTAAACACATCCAGTCATTCGCTAAATTCCAACAAAAAATATAAATTCATTTTCGAATCGACGTCTTCCTTGGCGTTGCCGTGCCAACTGCTAAAGGTCCGGCCTAATGTGTGGCCTGACATTGTACGGTGGTAATCAAAATAAAAACATGATCTTGTTGTTAAGTTTTCAACGGATAGTAGATTTATACTAGGTTATAAAGCTTGTTAGAAGAAATTTCTTGTATAGTTGAAACTTTCTTTATTATTTTCTTAAGAACTCAAAACAACTTGCTAGCTCGGGGTATGACACAACAACTACAGGAGAGTGTCGGTTTCCAGTTTCAATATTCGACCAACGTCACTATTTCTCACTTCACTAGCGAATCACATTGAGTTACGTGTAATAGTTTCCGCACACTAAGTATGTACCTTCGGTTTGTTTACTCTTTCTAAAACGATGTTCTACCAAAATTTCATTCTTTTGCGGTTAGCATCGGCCAAAACAAAATCAAGATTGATAATATAAAATTTATAAAGAAACCGTTTCGTAAATTAGAATTACTATTAAAAGATAGCTAAAGAGAAAATAACCCTTGAAGTTTGTTACATAACAACATATCAGAGAGAGAATTCGAGGGAGAAAGGGCGTACCTCTCTCATATAAGTCAACTGATTATAAATTCATTGCGGAAGATGAAAAGTACAAGATGTATACACCTTAATCTCCCTATAGAAAGATGTGCTGAACGTGCTAAATTAAAAAAATTAAGAATTTCTTTCTTGATCGAGAGCACGACATGAAATTGATCCTAAAAACGTGCCGGAAAAGAATCGAAAGTATAAGAAATAGCAATTTCCAGGAATTCCGATACGAGATTTACTTTTTCCAGAACAAATTACTCTCTTATTCAGCAAGCAGATGATCTTAATTAAAATATATATTACCGCAAGATAATTGAAATACCTCACGCCGAGTTTTAAACACCATTGAACATCCGCTTTCATGTCGAACTCACGATTGGATAATATGCGTCAATCACTAACAGCTAAGTACAAACTTTTGTGGAGCTAAATGAACTATTTTCTCTCCAAAATAAAAGATAAAAATTACTCTAGTTACAAAGTAAGAACGCCATTGAAATAGGAAATTATCAACTGGTTATAATATTTTGTAACTGAATGGGTTTTGCTAATATATAATTTCCATTCATATTCCCACACCAAAGGTAATGAAGCTCTTACAATGCTTCTAAGTAGGATATGTCTTAATTTTATCGTTTAACAAACGCGAACTAAATTCTTCTTGATACTGTTCTACAACCAGCTTTTTAGTTTCATTTCGAGAGAAATGTTTCCGACACGAACAATAAAATATATTAAGACTAAAATGTATGAGGTTAACCTACCACTCATCAAATCACAACTTGGTTGATAAATTTGAAACTCAGACCAAAAACAAAACTAAAATCATCGACTTGATTTTTACTTGATATTCAGCAAATTCTCACGGCATGATTCCGGGTGAAGTATGAAAGTCAGTCAAGAGAAGCAGGTATTTGATCATGAGGGTGACAGAGTTCAGAGACGCAGCTGAACAGAAGTCCAGGGAAGATTGATCGAATAACACACGGAGCCACAACCAGTCAGGCTTGGGTTCCTTTCTTGTTTACCCTCTGATTTTTTTCTCACTATTTCTTTTCTTTTCTTTCTTACTTTTCAATAGAAATCGATAAATTTCGATGAAAAATTTCGCGAACGGCTATCATCTCACATTGGTTTATTTAGGCAAGGTAGCATGAATATCTGTACATGACGCAGTGGTCACCTTAAAAGGAATCGGCCGTCCGATTCATTTTGACGATTAAATACTGAATGACTCTTTTGGGTCACTTTTAAGTCCCTTTTGGTAATCTAACTAGACCTAAAATACCGAAAAGATACCTGAAAACAACTCTAAATTGTGAGGTGACTATTTTTAAACATTAATTACAAAATGATGTAGTTACACAATCATGAGTTGTTTGCTGGTATGAACAAATTTGCTTCAAGTTGTTACTAAATTGTGGTTTTCAGAAAATGTACCGGGTTGTCGCACTTCTGTGCTAAGATGAAACCCCACTGCTAGAGTTATTCCGTGATTGCGAGTAATATTCCTTTTTTTTTAGTCTACGTTCTCGCATTTCATTAACTCAAAACAAATTCAATGAAGAACCTCCCTGGAAAAAAGTTTGCTTGCCTAGTATTCGATGTTCTCTCATCTGACTAGTCTTGATCACTGTCCGCTTCATCTTCGTCTGAAGAGAACACGGGAGACCAATCATCAGTTGAGATGTCTAGGTTGTCGTGGGAAGCAGAACCCTTGAAGGTCGGTACAATCCCCTCTTTTAGCTGTTCATGACTTGCGAAGTGGTTGGCATTTTCACTGGCATTCGTATTCACCAACGGTAATTCGGATAGGTTATCACACTTTAATCCGCAGAGTTTAATTACGTTTAAGCGATAATCAGATGTTAAGCAAACAACTTTGTCCTCCTCAGGAGATACGGCAACCCTTACAATGCTCTCCATCCCTTGTGTGATCCTAGCGTATGCAACAGTTTGCCTGTCGTTCAAATCCCGCAACAACACAACACCATCCACCCCATATGACATCAGGTAACGAGTTCCCTTCAAAAACTGGCAAAAATCAACCCTACCAAGATGACAGTGTGGTATTTGCAAAACAGACGCTTGTTCAGCTTCAGAGTAGAGGAGAATTTTGTCTCCTAAACAACACGCTAGCAGTTTGTCGTTTGACGAAACTGTACAGTGAGTGAACTTGTCCGACTCTCTGCAAATCCCACTAGGTTCCAGCATTTTCAGAAGACGACAGGAATTCCCAGTGTGCTCCCAAATTTGAATGCTTCGCTGACCGCAAATGAATACTTTCGAGTTGTCGGATGAAAAACAACAGCATTCTACGGGGGGTAGATAAAAGGAGTCACAAGATGCTGACACAGCCCTCTCTTGGACATCCCACACGAAGAATTTCCGAGTATTTTTGTTCTTTTCGATACAAAAAAGAAATAAAGCGCTGTTTGGAGAAAATATCATGCAAGAAATATTACAATCCCTTTCTTCAAAGACAGTGCAAACAAATCTCTCCTGTTTGAACAGTAGTATCCTTGAACTTTCTTGAGTGGCTAACAGATCTCCGCTACAGGAAAATACGCAGTTCTTGAAGGGTTCGAATTCTCCGAAACGAGATTCTCCAACCATTAAGCGAGATTTGGAAATATACTCGACCGAGGGCAAATCCACGTTTGCAATTTTCCAGAAATAAAGTGTTGGACCAAAACCGATGGATTTCATGGTATCAGTGGAGGAGAACGCTATCTCTGACCAACGAAAGTAAATTAATTTAGTCCATACACACTCAATGAAACCTCTAGGAAAATCCTTCACGAAGATGTTTCTTTCTTCGTCTCCAGTGCGAAAACAATACCCAACTAGTCCTTCAGGCCTAAGATACAATGGAGTACATCCCGAGACACTTAAAAGGGTGGTACCAGTTTGGAGAGACAGAGCGCACAGTAACTTGTCAGTGGAGAGATAAAGAAAAACGCTGCAGTCATCAGTAAAGGCAAAGGCTTCCACATCTTTAATAACATGACGCGGGTTTTCATGATCAAAATTCTCACTTTGGAGAATTTTTGCGCACACTAATACCTCCAGATGGTGATAACTCCCGATGGCGATCCAGTTTTGATCCAGTGATATCCTTGCTTTTGTCGAGGTTTCACGTTCTAAACTCATTTTGGGTGGTGTGAGAAAGTAAGGGCTCAAAAGCACTGACTTACTGAGGTTGAAAAAGTGCCGATCAGAGTAAGGCCCAACAGCTCTACTTCCGGACAAAGATTCATAAATGTAATACATGGCATTTGCTACAGCAACATCACAAAGTGACTCAACTTCATCTATAGCACGGTAGAATATTTTAATGAACTTACTGCAAAGGGCTAAGTGATAGACGAGGAATAATGGGTTAGGCTGGGTACCCGAAGAAAATGCTTCTTCCAACACAGATTTTCCACTCTCCAAATTCCAGACCTGATACCTGAATATGTCAGAGTAAAGGTGAGTGATATGCTGACGGACACGCGAAAATGAGGATACTTGGAGCTCCTGCATCGACGCAGAACATCGTGCGCAGAGCGAAGCAGCATTTTCTTTCCTTGAAAACAAAGTTTGAAGAAGCTCCATTTGTTTATCATCCTTTTCCTCCCATAAAAAATTACAAAGCTCATATTTTAACTGTCTATTCTCGTATTCCTTAATCCCAAACCAAGGATCTTTGTCACAAAAAATAAAATTATGAAACACACTTTTAATTTTTCTAAGCGTACAATAAATCTCAACACTCTTGATCTGTTTGAGCTCGTGCCTTGCCCACAAACAAAAAATTTCTTTCAAGCAAGAAAGGGTATGACATCCATTCCAAACATCATCACCTTTTACCACAATATAGCGACCACATAAGGCGAGCGACCCCCACTTGAACAGCCTATTTTTACCAGCAAACTGAGGTAAATCTTTCAAACATCCTTCATCCAGAGAAAACCATTTATCCAGCCTTCCAAAACATAACAACTTACTGTCTGATGAAAATTCCACATGGTGAATATCATCTCCTGATTCTACGACCTTGATGGGGCCTTGAATTCTTTCAAGCGTACTCGCATCAAACAAGAATATAGATTGGCCTGTTCCTCCAGCAAGCCATTTCTTATCCGGAGACAAAGCAAAGTAGCTTATACCAAAGGGGATTTCACAGGGAGCATTCCTAGCCCAACTGTACTCCATCCAACAAGTTGAGACCCCATAAGGAATAACAGCATCCTGGACAGCTTTGGAGGTCATCCGCAAGCAAGAATGGAGAAGCTCAGGACATTCCGAAAGAACGTTGACATTCTTTTCAACAACAGCGTATATTTCTTGGATAACTTGTTTCTTACTGTTACGAGAAGTCTTGTTTTCGGCCTCCCTCTTAAAATCGTTAATAAGAAGATAAATCTCATTACGTCTACATTTTATTCTCGCTTGAATAAATTTAAAACTAGTCAAGCATCTGGAGATTGTTTCTAGTGAAACTTTGTCAGAGAAACCACGCAAAAAGCGAACCCCCACGCGCAAAACGTAATCAAGTACACGGTTGTCAATGGAAAAGCTGCCTTCCGATTGCTCGTCCAGAAATTCGGAGAGACATGTAGTTATAACGTCTCTGAAATACTCACCTGCTTTGATCCTATCGATGAACAATTTTCGAGAGGCTTTTTCCCAGTTAGTTAGCCACGCTGGGATCAAATTGTGAAGAAACGTGAATGACTGATCAGGAGTGCGAAACAACAGAAACGTCGAGAGGGCATCAATTACTTCCTGCTCATCAAGATTTGAATTCTCTCTTTGCAGAATTAATGAAATAAAGGAGACAGGTAGTGGAGATGGAGCGACTACAACACATCCAAACAATTTCTTGTACAAGTCCGCTCCTACCTTGAGAAAAACTCTCCTGAAATTCTGCATAAAAAAATCTTCGATGTCTCCAGGGAAAAGATCGTCGAGCTGACTAGATACCCCGGAATGCAATTGATTGCTGAGAGCCCTCACAATGTAGAAGGCGTACAAAAACAACCCATCGCACTTCTTTGCTATGTCATCCACAGAAATCGGCAAACGGGAGAAATCAACGCTTTTCTCCAAATATAGTTTTATGTCCTGTTCGTGCTGTTGATAGAACTTAACGTTTTCTCTGTTCCCAGCGCAAATTTTAATACAGGATTTGTACTTTTTCAATCTGAATTGAACACAGTCCTCAGGGCGACTGGTAATAAAAAACACAAGCCATTGTGGAAGCATGAGAAAACGGCGCATTATAAGATCGAGAAAATCTTCCCTGGACTCATATTCTGTTTCATCGAGAGCGTCAATAATGACTAACTTTCTCGGGTAAGCAGGAGCGCATTGAGCCAGTGGCTCTTGTAATAATTTGGTAAACAATTCCTGAACACCTAGAGCAGAATTACCTAAGGAATTTCTAATGCCAACCTCCCCTCCCACAAGACTAGTGTACTGCTCATTACATTTGCAAAGTTGACATGCGATAGTCCCCAGTAGATACCTGGGATTGTTTCTTGTGGCATCGTTGTGGCGGCAGAAATAGGCCGCTGCTAAGTTTCCAGCGTTTCTCTTTTGGTGAGCTAAGACAGCAGCCAAGACACTCTTGCCGACTCCTGCATCTCCAAGCATAAAATACGCTCTAGAGTCTCCAGGGTCCTCGAACCATTTGTTGAAATCTTTGAAAAGCCACTTTCTCGTATCTGGATCATAACGTTCGGCAAACAAGCTGATTTCCGCTTCACAACTGGCAATCTCTGAGATATAAAAAAGAATAAGACGTTGAGGTAGTGTTAACTGGCATCACTTGCAACGATGATTTCTCACAAAGCAATGTTGCTCGAAAAAATGAACATTGTGTAACATGATAGTAACGAAGATTACTTGCGCAACTTTTGACTCAGCGACGCGAATTTTTACTTGGGTTCAAAAACTCGAAGTGCAAGATGACGAATACCCACAAAACTGTCTCGTGTTGCATGGCTATCGCCGTATTTATCGCGCAGCACCCTCCGAGAACCCCTTTCACTTCCCCTATCATGATGTACACGAGGCCACATAAACAAACAAAATGGCAGAAGCCTGTATACGAGTACGAGTTGAAAAACCGGAATTAGAAAGCTTATCTCTGGTAATGTCAAGGCTGTAAAAACACTCCTGATAAAACAGTCCCTCATCATGTCCTGGAAACCTATGATATTTGTCGATAGAGGTTTGGCCTGGTCGGGAACGTTGACTGTACTTGCCGTTTATGATACGTTTGAACGTAACCGCTATATGAAACAAAACACTTACTTCTCATTAAAATGTTATACTAAAAAACGTTTTGACAGGTGACAAAAGAACCTTGTATAAGTGCGGTATCAAAAATGCCATACAAAGTCCAAGAATACCTATGGCCAACTTGTGGATAAAGAAATGAAACATGTTTGTGAACATGCAGTTGGTGGTCTTGTAGCAAAGATTAAATTGAAATAAACAACTCAGAAAATGTCTCGGGGTTTTTTTCGGTCTCACTTCGTAACTTTGCTTGAAAGCTTCCAGTCCTTGCAGAAAATCCCGGAGAAATCCAGAATGATGGTAACCATCCAACTCCACAGAAAAATGAAAAATAAAACAAAAATAATATCCTTCGTCTATCGAATTTCCGTTTGCAAATTCATCAAACTTAGATGCTGCGATCCAAATCTTTCTTCGCCCGCACAAGCCAAATTAAATTATTTTCCTTTCCTACATCATGTTTGGTCTAACCGTCGCTCAATAAACATTTGCATTGTAAAGCGATGATCTTAATTTACAAGGTTTTCTCTTGCTTGCATCGGACTACAAACCTCCAAAGTTTTTCGCCTCGAAAACGATATACCTCAGAACGCATTTTATGTAACTGTAAGGTTTTTTCACTGATTGAAATTGTTGGGGCCAATTTTTCCCTTTGTTTTCGTTTTCTCACTTGTCATCGTGTAATTTTTTTTGCACCTCGTTATTTTGTTAATTACGCTCCTCTGTTACGTGCCGTATGTAAATTTAATTATATAATTTGTTGTCTCGCCACTTTCTCTTTACCAGTTTTTTCGTGTCTATCCGTGAAACAGTGTTCATAGCAGTAGACTTTTTCTTTTTGTCGGTTTCCCTAACCACCAACCCTAGTTATCTCAGCATTTGTAAAACATTTGATGAGGCATCGCGTTGTGTTTTCTTTGAATTGGCCCTTGCCTGTTCAGAAATTAAAGATTAACATATGGCAGTGAATTCCACAAGTAGTTGTTGTTGTTGTTGTTTTTTTAATCAGAAAAGCATAGAATTATTTTCGTTTGCTCTAAAAGTGCCGCCAATGTTTGTATAAGATAATTCCATGATGATATGGCTTCAGGCTCAGGCGAGTTCGGGACAAGTAATTACCGCAGTGTCACTCAACAGTGTCTACACCTTAGTGAGTGAGTGAGTGTAAGTGACTCATTTGCAAATAGGAGTCCCTATAGAAATTTGTTTCATCGCCGCGCTTTGCGCATATCCACGAGTTCCAAGTTAAGCCAGGCTTTACTTTAAAATGGTTGAGTATTATCACATTGTAAGACAAAGTCTCATGAAGAATCAAGATGTTACACATTACCATGACAGATTTGGGGTTTAGTAAAACTCTGTTGCCCTTCCAGATGTTCCACACGTTGTTGGACATTTGCTAGTTCATTTTTCTGGTCTTGCACTTTGGCAGTCAGTGACTCTTGTTCTTGTTCCACCTTGAAAACGCGTTTCTCCAGTTCTTTCAGATCACCTACAGCGTCATGAAGCGCAGTCTTCAATTGCGCTCTTTCTTCCTCTTTTTCAAATGCCAGCTTATCAACGTCGTTCTTCAGAGCGATGAGATCTTGTTGAACAGCCTTCACAAGATCAGGGTCGATAGTAGCGTTTATACACAGTATGGTTCCTGAGATAAAAGAAACCATACTCAGGACTAAACCTACCAACATGCACTTAGTATAGGTAACAACATGATTTCGAGCGCAATTTGGTGTAAATAAACACGAGAGAATTTTTCACCAAATTGCACGAGAAATCATGATGTTACTTTTGATTAATTACCATGAGAAAAGAATCACAGAAAGTTAAGACAGACGGAATTTTGAATGCACGCGCGCGCTATTTGCAATTTGCACTCGAGTTACAACTTTGCACTCGTGTTACATGAAAAGTGCACTCGTTTTCAGGCAATCAGACGAGCGTAATTTTTCATGTATATTACTGTAGTCCTTATAACTAAACCCTTCTTTTTGTCCCCCATCAAGGTCAACACTGGCTGATTTTCCTTCCTTCATCCACATAAACCCCTCTAATTCTTTTTTTTAATGAAGCGTGGATGGAATTTCTTCGATAGTAACGTTTGATTTTCTGTTAGGAGTGTTACCATAGGAACACCATTTCCGATCTCCTCAAAAGTTGTACCATTCAACTTGAATTTAGCCATAATACTCCAATGTGATTCTCGTCGTCCAAATTGAAATTGAAATTTGGGGTGTTAGTTTTAAGGAGAGAGGGGGGAAGGGCAAACTACAAATTCACAATCATGCTCAAAGGCCTCCCTTTCAGTCACCACGTTTGTCGCGGGTATTCATCGTGCATATCGAGAAAGGGTCTCTTATTCCGCCCCATTTTCCGCGCCATACAAAAATTCCTTTCGCCATTGGTAACGCATAGGAACTTTCGCCGAATCCAGGCGAAAAAGGTCGTGAACTAGAGCAACTTGGGTTTAACCAGGCGGGACTGGGATGAAATTGTTCAGCGGTTGCGGGATTAAAATATTTTATTTTGGGCCCTATGGCACTAGCTCTACAGTGGCACCCCTGACGGGACTCGCGAAGCATGGAGGAACTAACCAAAGAAGCAGAGGCTAAATTGCAGATGTTGCTGTACACTAATGGAAAAACACGTGGCATTGTGGAAAAGGGAAACCTAGGAGCGGTCGCGCGACATCGCGACAACCTACAAGCATTAGTAAAAGAAATAGACGCGCTTAAACTAAGGGTTGAACAAACCATGTTCGAGGCCGGGAAAAGTGCAGAAGACGTTGGAAGTTGGAGCAGTAGCATTGAAGAACCGATCGCCGAAGCTGACGCAGAAGTTTCGCGACTAGAAAAATGGCTCGTGGAGACGAATGGAGAGATCGAACATCGAAAGCAAAAGGACGAAGAAGAAAGGAAAGCCCGAGCTCGTGAAGAGGAGCTTAAATTCGAAAGAGAGCAAATGGAGATGAAGCTAGAATTCGAACGCCAACTGGAAGAGATCAAGGAAAAACAGCAACCTGTTGAGAAGGCTAATCAGAGTGAACAAAGGACAACAAAGCTACCGAAACTACAGATCACAAAGTTTAATGGGACGTATGAAGCATGGCTGCCGTTCTGGAACAAATTTCAAGCTGAAATTGATAAAGCAAACCTTGCATCTGTGACCAAGTTTGCGTACCTAAAAGAGCTGGTAGATCCAAAGGTTCGAGCGGAGATAGACGGACTACCTTTCACAACAGAGGGCTACGAGAGGGCAAAGAATATCCTCATCGGCGAATATGGGAAAACGAGAGAGATCGTAAATGCGTACGCCCAGAACATCGCGAATTTGCCTGTCATAACAGGAACACAACCTGCGCCTATCCACGAATTTTACAAGAACCTCGTGTACAATGTGCAATATTTGAAGACACTGGGCAAATTGAAAGACGTGACTGGAAATGTAAGGAGTGTGCTCGACAAACTAAAGGATGTAAAAGCAGATCTAGTAAGAGGAAATATTGACTGGCAGGACTGGGACTTCCCACGGTTGATAAAAGCTTTGAAAAGTTGGAAGGAAATCAACCCCATTGTGAGCGGCGCGGATAATGCGGGGAAGCAAGGTGCTAAATTCCGAGATCGCGAAAAAACATTTCACGCAAACGAAACTACGCCAACACAAAGAGGGTGTGTTTACTGTGACGCAACTGACCACACAGCTGTAAATTGTAACAAGCTTGTGACAGTTGGAGACCGCAGGAAGCAATTAGGTCTGAAACAGCTGTGTTTTAATTGCACAGGAAGTCGACACCGCGCTTCTGAGTGCAAATGCCGTTCTGGCTGCCAGATCTGCAGCCGAAGACATCATACATCGATCTGTGACAAACATACATCGCGAGACCAGCTGATGACCACAACGAGCGTAGAAAGGAAAGGAGTGGTGTATCCTATGGTTACAGTTGACGTGAATGGTGTTAAGTGCCGAGCATTGTTGGATACGGGAGCCGGAAGTTCCTACGCTTCATCAACGCTTCTGGACTGTTTACATTTGTGCCCTATCCGTCAACAATTCAAGCGCATTGAAATGATGTTTGGTACTTCAAACAAAGCGATAGACATCTATGGCCTACAAATTCGAAGCGTTGATGGTAAATTCACCTTGGAAGCCGAAGTAAACAAAGTCGACCGCAAAGAGTTGTTGACATTGGAAAACCCAAAATGCGCAGAAATCGTAGCTCAGTTTTCTCATTTGAAGGGCGTAACCACAAATGATAACGACGAGAAAGCGATGTTGCCCGTTTATCTGATCCTTGGAACAAACGAGTACGCTAAGATCAAAAAAGGGGCAAGACCAAGAGTTGGGCGCTCGGGAGAACCAGTAGCAGAATATACGAAGTTCGGCTGGACGACCTTGTCACCAGGAACGGAGTTGGATCTCAGCAACATGTTGTTAACGCAGACCTCCGCAATTGATTACGAAGAATTGTGCAAGTTAGACGTCTTGGGGCTAAAGGACAATCC